CGACGTGGACCCGGGTCATGGCACACGCCCCTGCGCCAATCGGCAGGCTGATCTGGGATCAGCTGACCTGTAGTCAGAAGAGGCGTGGCCATGGAGCCAACCCTACGTAGATGCGTGCAGCGCATGGCGCGATACTCTCCTCCCACATGGCGCGCCGCAGGACCGTGTGGAGCGAGGGCTGCGGGGCAAGCGCGCAGACGCAGACTGCACTCCCTACGAGATGCAGAACGTGTGAGCGATGTCCCGAAATTGGTGGGCGGGGAACGCCACGCGGGCTCTCACAGTGGGGCCTTCGGTGGAGCTCCCTGCGGGGCCACGACACGCGTGAGGGGGTGCGCAGATCGAGGACGATTCTTTGCCCTTGGGGCCTTCGGTGGAGCTCCCGCGAGGAGGCCACCAGACTCGTGGTGGGGGCCGCAGTGGGACCTCCCCGTGGGGCGGGCACGACCCGCGGGCAGGGCGTGCCGACACGGGCCGAGGGGGGGGGGTATAACCGCGTGCGAGCCGCGCCCCTTGGGGGTGCGCAGAGTCGCAGCGGCCAGTGCCGCGCGCAGGCACCGGCTCGCACGCCATCGAAGCTCGCTGACAGCCCCGCGTTTTTTCGCGGCAGGGCCTGGGAGCGCGGGGTCGAGCAGCCTGTGAGGAGGAGGTCGTTTTGTTGTGGGGCCCGGGCGGGGCGAAAAAACGAATGGTGGGCCTGGTTCCCACCACCACCACCACCACCACCACCACAAGTTGGAGGGGGGGGGAGTCCTCCTCCTCCTCCTCCTTCTCCTCCTCCTCCTCCTCCTCCTCCTCCTCCTCCTCCTCCCCTCCTCCCTCCTCCTCCTCTCCCCCCCTCCTCCTCCTCCTCCTCCTCCTCCTCCTCCTCCTCCTCCTCCTCCTCCTCCTCCTCCTCCTCTTCGTCCTCCTCCTCCTCCTCGTCCTCCAGTTCCTTCCCCCCTCCAACTTATCGTGGTGGTGGTGGAAAACAAGCCCATCAACGAAGGCCGTGCGCGGCGGCGGCGGGCCGCTCAGGCGGGCTGAGGGGAGACCGCCCGTCTGTGGTGCGCCATCAGCCCCTTCGAGAGGGCGGCGAACCAGAGTGCCACGAGCGTCACGATGAAGCACGCCGTCCCTCTGAGGCACCACTCGAACCAGCGCTCGTCGGCCTCCTGCTCCGCCCGCGACTTCTCCACGAAGAACTGCGGGTAGGCGAGGCAGCCCAGGTCCCAGGCAGATGCCACGTCCAGGGCCAGCCTCTCAGAACCAGCTTTGCCAGAGGACTGGGCTCCAGTAAACGGCTGGAATATATCGACGGTGACCGCGAACGGACCGAGTTCTGATAGGCATCAGCAGTCTTCAGAACACTTCCCCACGGTAAGCCCACCTGAGCGACGATCGAAAACGAATCTTACGCGAGATGGCGTAGCGACCTTGGGCGGTGGCTCACGCGGGCCACCAACGCGGCAAGTCACATCACAGTGGAGACGAGGGCGCTCACGCGAGCCCTTACGCGAGCAGATTACGCGCGAATGTCGGCGCAGTCGAACCCGTTTTCTTGCGTCGCTCATCTGTCTGATTCGGCTACACGCCAGAGTGACCCTAGGGAGGGGGGGCCCTTTGCGGACACCACCGGACGCGCAAGCCGCTGCTATCGCATCGCATTCGGCGATCATGGGGACCCATTGGGCCCGCACTGAAAGTTCCTTTGGCGAAAGGTCGCTCTTACGTGTAGCCGACTGACGAACAAAGCCCTGGCAAAAATGGCTCTGCACACCGCCGGCCAGCACCCGTGTGTTGGCGCACACGCACCGGGGGTGGCGCCGAGGGGAGCAGCCTTTTTTAAGCTTCTGGGGGGCCCCTCCAAGACGGCAGGGGGGGCCACCTGCAGGCATTCTTGTCTCGGAACGCCCTTGGGCGGCGAGCGAGGGGGGGCAGTGAGATTATGTCGGGCGTGTCCCCCTATACGGGGATTTTGCACGAAAAATTGAAAATAGTCCAAACAAATATTCACAAATGATTCAAAAATGTTCAAAATCGTCCGCGGACTACTTGTTGACTAGTTCTGAACATTCCTGCTGTAGAGGGGCACGTCGACTTCACAGTGAGAGGGAGAGGCAGGCGGCGGGACTTCTCGGAAGCCCTCCGGCCTTCTCAGAAGTCTTCTGTCTTCTGGGAAGGCTCAAGAAGTGTCTCAGAGGGCTGGGGGACTTCCGAGCCTTCTGAGAAGGCCTTCTCCTCTCGCACGTCCTCCCCGCGCTCGCCGCCAAGCCCTCTCCCGCAGGAGGCTCTGGGCCCTCCCGAGAGGTCCCGAGGCCGCCCACCTCGGAAGCCCGCCCCCGTCGCGCCCCCCCCCTTCCCCGCACTGTGCCGGAAGAGAGACACACGCAAGAGCACCAGCTTCCTGAGGACCCCCGATGCACGAGGCAAGTACAGGAATCGGCCTGACCTAAGGAACGATAACTAAGGAACGAAACCTCTTTTTTTTACCCCAAAGAATAACGCACAAGGAACGAGAAATAATAAATAACGCATAAGGAACTGTAAATAACGCATGCAAACCTAAGGAACGACCGAGCCCCTTTTGAAAAGTGAGTGTTCCTTATTCAAGCCGCTCACTGTACCGCCTCCTTCGGCGGCAGCGCGCGCCGACTCTGCATGGGAGCGGGGCCCGTCGCCAAGCCGTGCGCCCGCATCCACAGCAACGCTGCCCCCGCCCTTGGTTGAACAAGGACCGACCGTCCCGGCATTCCTGTAGGCCTACCACGACATGCTCTTGGAACCCCAAAGATGTTCTAGGAACAAAAACAAGGTTCTCGGAACGTAGACCCGATGTGCTAAAACAAGGCGGTCCCGGCCAGACCTGCTCTCAGAACATGTCGTGGAAACCGCACAAGGTTATTAGAACATTGCTTGGTAGGCCTGTAGGCTTGCAGATGCCATGACAATGGACACTCTAACAGTCCTAGCATTGAGTTTAAAATGTGTTTACAATGTCGGATAATGTTCTGAACATGTTTCACACATGTTGCTTTTACATGCTGAAAATATGTTTGAGACATGTTCTGGACATCTGGAAATGATTTGGCAGCATGCTTCCTCTCCACTGATCGCCCTCCACAACTGTAGGATGCCAGGACGCTTCGCCAGGACGCCAGGAGGAGGAGGAGGAGGAGGAGGAGGAGGGGGAGAAGGGGGAGGAGGGGGAGGAGGGGGAGGAGGGGGGGAGGAGGGGGAGGAGGGGGAGGAGGGGGAGGAGGAGGAGGAGGAGGAGGAGGAGGAGGAGGAGGAGGCGGAGGAGGCGGAGGAGGACGCCAGGGACGTTTCGCCCCTGCTTGACTCGGGCGCCCTCGCCGCCTGCACGCCAGCACGCGGCGCCCCCTGCCCGGGGCGAAGCCCACGTCCTCGCAGCCCAGCAGCTGCGCGGAGGGCTCCGCGCGGCGGCTCCGCAGGCGGTCTCGGAAGGCGCGCCACTCCTCCTCGGCAGGCGGGCGGGGAGGGGAGGGGGAGGAGGAGGAGGAGGAGGAGGCGGAGGAGGAGGAGGAGGAGGAGGAGGCGGAGGAGGCGGAGGAGGCGGAGGAGGCGGAGGAGGCGGAGGAGGCGGAGGAGGCGGAGGAGGCGGAGGAGGCGCGGGGGGGGGGGGGGCATCGGAGCAGCGACGAGACGACGGGTCGTGCGCGAGATGGCAGACGGTCGAGACTGGTCAGTGCAGGGACCGACCACAACGGTGTGTGAAACGGAATGGCGCTTACAACGACAAGCGAAGCGAAGCCCGACGTTTAAAACGAACGTTTAAAACGAAGCCGGTGCCAAAAAAAATATCCTGGCGACGGACCCAACCATATGCGATTGTGAAAACTGCAATTGTGAATATCTTCTCGGTGGAGCCCCCTACGGGGCCACGAAACGTACGAGGGGTGTGCCGAAATGGATGTGCGGGACGCATGCGGGCACACCCACTGGGGCCTTCGGTGGAGCTCTCTATGGGGCCACGAAACGTGTGAGGGGTGTGCCGAAATGGGTGTGCGGGACGCATGCGGGCACACCCACTGGGACCTTCGGCGGAGCTCCCTATGGGGCCACGGAACGCGTGAGGGCGTGCCGAAATGGGTGTGGCTGACGCATGCGGGCGCGGGCACTGGGGCCTTCGGCGGAGCTCCCTATGGGGCCACGAAACGTGTGAGGGGTGTGCCGAAATGGGTGTGGCTGACGCATGCGGGCGCAGGCACGGGGCCTTCGGTGGAGATCTATGGAGCCACCGAAGCGTGTGAAGGGTGTGCCGACGTGCCGATGGTGTGGCTGCGGGCGGCGGGCACTGGGGCCTTCGGTGGAGCTCCCTATGCAGCCACGAAACGTGTGAGGGGTGTGCCGAAATGGGTGTGGGTGACGCATGCGGGCGCGGGCACTGGGGCCTTCGGTGGAGCTCCCTATGGAGCCACGAAACGTGTGAGGGGTGTGCCGAAATGGGTGTGGGTGACGCATGCGGGCGCAGGGCACTGGGGCCTTCGGTGGAGCTCCCTATGGAGCCACGAAACGTGTGAGGGGTGTGCCGAAATGGGTGTGGGTGACGCATGCGGGCGCGGGCACTGGGGCCTTCGGTGGAGCTCCCTATGCAGCCACGAAACGTGTGAGGGGTGTGCCGAAATGGGTGTGGGTGACGCATGCGGGCGCGGGCACTGGGGCCTTCGGTGGAGCTCCCTATGGAGCCACGAAACGTGTGAGGGGTGTGCCGAAATGGGTGTGGGTGACGCATGCGGGCGCGGGCACTGGGGCCTTCGGTGGAGCTCCCTATGGAGCCACGAAACGTGTGAGGGGTGTGCCGAAATGGGTGTGGGTGACGCATGCGGGCGCGGGCACTGGGGCCTTCGGTGGAGCTCCCGATGGAGCGACGAAAACGTGTGCAGGGGTGTGCGAAAGGTGTGGGTGACGCATGCGGGCGCGGTGGCATCTGGGGCCTCGTGGAGCTCCCTATGAAAACACGAAACGTGTGAGGGGTGTGCCGAAGTGGGTGTGGGTGACGATGCGGGCGCGGGCACTGGGGCCTTCGGTGGAGCTCCCTATGGAGCCACGAAACGTGTGAGGGGTGTGCCGACATGGGTGTGGGTGACGCATGCGGGCGCGGGCACTGGGGCCTTCGGTGGAGCTCCCTATGGAGCCACGAAACGTGTGAGTGGTGTGCCGAAATGGGCGTGGGTGACGCATGCGGGCGAGGGCACTGGGGCCTTCGGTGGAGCTCCCTATGGAGCCACGAAACGTGTGAGGGGTGTGCCGAAATGGGTCGTGGGTGAGCCCATGCGGGCGCGGGCACTGGGGCTTCGGTGGAAACTCCTATTTGGAGCCACGAACGTGTGAGGGGTTGTGACGAATTGGGTGTGGGTGACGCATGCGGGCGCGGGCACTGGGGCCTTCGGTGGAGCTCCTATGGGGCTACGAAACGCTGTACTGGGTGGGTGAAACGCACGGAAGAGGGGGAGGAGGGAGGGGGCAGCGGGAGGAGGAGTGAACGCGGGGCGCTGTCTCTTCAAAACGAGGACCCAACACCACAGGATGGTTGGGAAAAAAACGAAACCGGGCATTTAAAGCAACAACGAAAAACGAACGATATCAACAACGAAACGAAACGGAAAACAAAAATATCCTGGCGAAGGACCCAACTATATGCAAGTGTGAAAACTGCATTGTGACTATCTTCTCGGTGGGAGCCACATACGGGCAACGAAACGTACGAGGGGTTGTGCGACATTGGGTGTGCGGGATGGGTGTGCGGGGACGAATGCGGGCACACACAAATGGGGCCTTGGTGGAGCCTCTATGGGCCAAGAAACGTGTGCAGGGGCTGTGCAGAAATGGGAGGTGTGCCGCCGTGTGCGGGACGCTGCGGGCACACCCACGCGGGCACACCCAACTGGGACCTTCGGCGGAGCTCCATCCCATTCTGAAACGCTTGAGGGCGTGCCACAGGTGGGTGTTGTGGGTGACGCATGCGGCCGCGGGCACTGGGGCCTTCGGTGGAGCTCCCTATGGAGACACGAAACGTGTGAGGGGTGTGCCGAAATGGGTGTGGGTGACGCATGCGGCCGCGGCCACTGGGGCCTTCGGTGGAGCTCCCTATGGAGCCACGAAACGTGTGAGGGGTGTGCCGAAAGGGGTGTGGGTGACGCATGCGGCCGCGGCCACTGGGGCCTTCGGTGGAGCTCCCTATGGAGCCACGAAACGTGTGAGGGGTGTGCCGAAATGGGTGTGGCTGACGCATGCGGGCGCGGGCACTGGGCCTCGGTGGAGACTCCCTATGCAGGCACGAAAACGTGTGAGGGGTGTGCCGAAATATGAATTGGCTGACGCATGCGGGCGCGGGCTGGGACCCTTGGTGGAAGTCCCTATGGAGCACGAACGGTGAAGGGCAGTGTGCCGAAATGTGGTGTGGGTGACGCATGCGGGCGAGGGCAACTCTTTGGGCCTTCGGTGGAACTCCCTATGGAGCCACGAAACGTGTGAGGGGTGTGCCGAATTGGGTGTGGGTGACGCATGCGGGCGCGGGCACTGGGGCCTTCGGTGGAGCTCCTATGGGGCTACGAAACGCTGTACTGGGTTGGTGAAACGCACGGAAGAGGGGGAGGAGGGAGGGGGCAGCGGGAGGAGGAGTGAACGCGGGGCGCTGTCTCTTCAAAACGAGGACCCAACACCACAGGATGGTTGGGAAAAAGAAAAACGAAACCGGGCATTTAAAGCAACAACGAAAAACGAAACGAATCAACAACGAAAAACGAAACGGAAAACAAAATTATCCTGGCGAAGGACCCAACCATATGCAATTGTGAAAACTGCAATTGTGAATATCTTCTCGGTGGAGCCCCCTACGGGGCCACGAAACGTACGAGGGGTGTGCCGAAATGGGTGTGCGGGACGCATGCGGGCACACCCACTGGGGCCTTCGGTGGAGCTCCCTATGGGGCCACGAAACGTGTGAGGGGTGTGCCGAAATGGGTGTGCGGGACGCATGCGGGCACACCCACTGGGACCTTCGGCGGAGCTCCCTATGGGGCCACGGAACGCGTGAGGGGCGTGCCGAAATGGGTGTGGCTGACGCATGCGGGCGCGGGCACTGGGGCCTTCGGTGGAGCTCCCGATGGAGCCACGAAACGTGTGAGGGGTGTGCCGAAATGGGTGTGCGGGACGCATGCGGGCGGCGGGCACTGGGGCCTTCGGTGGAGCTCCCTATGGAGCCACGAAAACGTGTGAGGGGTGTGCCGAAATGGGTGTGGGTGACGCATGCGGGCGCGGGCACTGGGGCCTTCGGTGGAGCTCCCTATGGGGCCACGAAACGTGTGAGGGGTGTGCCGAAATGGGTGTGGGTGACGCATGTGGGCGCGGGCACTGGGGCCTTCGGTGGAGCTCCCTATGGAGCCACGAAAGTGTGAGGGGTGTGCCGAAATGGGTGTGGGTGACGCATGCGGGCGCGGGCACTGGGGCCTTCGGTGGAGCTCCCTATGGAGCCACGAAACGTGTGAGGGGTGTGCCGAATTGGGTGTGGGTGACGCATGCGGGCGCGGGCACTGGGGCCTTCGGTGGAGCTCCCTATGGAGCCACGAAACGTGTGAGGGGTGTGAGGGGTGTGCCGAATTGGGTGTGGGTGACGCATGCGGGCGCGGGCACTGGGGCCTTCGGTGGAGCTCCCTATGGAGCCACGAAACGTGTGAGGGGTGTGCCGAAATGGGTGTGGGTGACGCATGCGGGCGCGGGCACTGGGGCCTTCGGCGGAGCTCCCTATGGAGCCACGAAACGTGTGAGGGGTGTGCCGAAATGGGTGTGGGTGACGCATGCGGGCGCGGGCACTGGGGCCTTCGGTGGAGCTCCCTATGGAGCCACGAAACGTGTGAGGGGTGTGCCGAAATGGGTGTGGGTGACGCATGCGGGCGCGGGCACTGGGGCCTTCGGTGGAGCTCCCTATGGAGCCACGAAACGTGTGAGGGGTGTGCCGAAATGGGTGTGGGTGACGCATGCGGGCGCGGGCACTGGGGCCTTCGGTGGAGCTCCCTATGGAGCCACGAAACGTGTGAGGGGTGTGCCGAAATGGGTGTGGGTGACGCATGCGGGCGCGGGCACTGGGGCCTTCGGTGGAGCTCCCTATGGGGCCACGAAACGTGTGAGGGGTGTGCCGAATTAGGTGTGGGTGACGCATGCGGGCGCGGGTACTGGGGCCTTCGGTGGAGCTCCTATGGGGCTACGAAACGCTGTACTGGGTGGGTGAAACGCAGGGAAGAGGAGGAGGAGGAGAGGAGAGGAGACGCGGGGCACCGTCTCTTCAAAACGAGGACCCAACACCACAGGATGGTTGGGAACAAGGGCACAAACCAAGCTAAACCGCGTTGTGGTCGGTCCTTGGATTAGTAAGTCGACCCTGCCAAATCGAGGGTACCCTCGTGTCCTGAGCTTCGCGCCCCGTGCCTTCGTACATTATGTGGCAACGTGGCCCTCGGAA